TGTCAGCACATTTTATCTTCTTTTTTTTCCCTTTTTATTTCTTCCAGGCAGAGGATAAGAAACCCTTTCCTGCTGCTTGTATCGTGGCTCAGATGGTCCCGTTCAATATAGACTATGTACATTCTTAAACAGTAAAGACAACCATGAGATGGATTCCTAGTGATTTCACAGATATTACCATGAACTTGGCTTGGCAACAGCAGAGATGTTGTTTGCCATTGCCTTCCTCCAGGCAGTTTTTCAACTCTAGCCTACAATCTGGGAATGCCCTTGTAGCCTCCTATGAAGCCCTAGCCAGGGATGTGACCTTCCTTCACTTCTGAGTCCAGGCACGTTTGACCAGATGCTACCACCTCCTGAGACAAAGATTTACTTGATTTGAACTTGACCTCTGTAACTGCATAGACATGGCCATATAATTTATTTTCTTTTTTTGGATGTGGGACACAACAATATGGAAATTGTAGCTATGGCTGTCTTTCAGCCCTTTTGGGGGGACTAGTCTATAGCTTTGAGATTTTTTAGTGTCTCCCATCCAATTACTAATGAAGTCTGCCTTTGCAGAGCTTTTTCAAATCCAGCTAGTATCAACAATTCTTCGGTAAACAAAAACACAGGAAGGCTGAATTGTGTGGCTCTATTTTTTTCCTCCATGATTAGCAATTGATGAAAAAGCCTAATAAAATTATATTTAAAACTGAATTGTTGTCTTTCACACATTGCCAGATTTATAGCCTACTTTCAGACACCATTATAGCAAAGAGGTTAAAAACATATTAAAAGAAAACATTATGATATATTACAATTGGTAAACACATGCTGATATTAGGAGACTTAGTTAAAGTTAGTTTTAGTTAATTAAATTTGGATGAATGTAATACATACGGATAATATTTTGAAAGTAGAATGTTTTAGATAATGAAGATATTATATCAAGTCGTCATAAAACAATTCCTACCATCATACTGAACCTATTTAAAATATCCCATTCCTAAAGTAGACTGATTCAGTAAAGATAAGCAATATCCCTCTCCTTATCTGTTTGTTAATTCAGCACCAAAATGCAAATTTATACTATTCTGTAGATTTTGAAACAGTACTCTTTGGGAATTAAGGAAGTTGTTAAATCATTACTCATGCAATTGTTGTACATTCAAGATTAATTCTTCTGTTTATGTTTAAACACAAAGAAATTAGAGAAGTTCATAACTGAATTAAACATATTTAGAAGATCCTGTATGATTCCTGGGATGACAATGTTGTTAAATTGAATATTCTGAGAGTAGGAAAGGAAGTAGGTGTGGCATCTGAGAGTGACATGACAGTGGCAATTGTAATCATGGCTGTTCTGATGTCATGGCATGCAGTGTTCTTGAGCATTCTAAATTTCCAGGAAGAAGGAATGTTTGCAACTGGTATCAAGCAAGACCAACTAGCTTTATGAGAGTTGTGTGAAGTAAAAATAAGCTAAAGCAAGATTGCTGATAGAAAGCAATAAACTGAGCTACAGGAATCAACAGGAAAGAAAAGAGAGAGAGAGAGAAGAGCACAGAGAAGACAAAGGGCCCTAGCATACTTCACTATGTGCTGGGATGAATACCGAACTTAGCAACTATCGAGAGAGATGAAAACAGAACTAAACACACAGCAAGACAAAATACTTCTCCTAATCCCCTAATACGTCCCCTAAGTGTTGGGACAAAAAACCCCCCAAACAGGTGGGGGGAGGCAACCAAGGAAACTACAGTGCTGAATTAAAAGCTCTCACTGGATGTTGGGGCAAGAGATGAGAAGAAACATTTAAAATATTGGAAGACTGGGATAGTGATCCCAGGAACCGGTTGGGACCAGAACCATTGAATTTTGTCCTTTGTAGTTTCTGCCACTGCAATGGATTCTTTCAGTTGTCAGAGAGGCCTAGAAGGAATCCACCCACAGGAAATGAGTATAGTAACACTGTCTCTGATACTAGAAGATGGTACCTAACTATATTGAATTAATAACTAAAATAAACCATAATGAAATGGCTGCATATATTTCTCAGTAATGCTCCCGTCCTTTTAATAACTGTCCGGAACATAATTTCACCCAATGTAGGTCTTTCACCTGAGGGTGCATGCATACTTCCAGTGACACAGGAATGAGAAATCTGCTTTCTTACATTCTGGTAGCAGCTAGTCATGGACTATAACCTCATTCCAAAGAGGTTATATTTATTGAGCTGTTTTCTCATATTCATTTATATGTGAAGAATCTCCATTAAACTCAACAGATGATTGCACTGTAAGAATCAAAGAAAGCTCTCTTAGCCAGTCCAACATGTTCAAATTCCCCTTCAACAGAAAATCTTTTGTACATACATTCTAAATCAAATGTTCCAGAGACACTTTTTCCTAGGCAGTTGCATCAGTTGTAGTCACATACATTTCTATCATCCCCTAAAAGGTATGGTGAATTTCCGTTGTGAGAAAATAAGAGTACAGATGAAATAATAATAAGGAAAACAAAAACAAAACTTGCTGACGAATATAGGATAGCATCAATGGAATAAGTATTTTTCTACAATGTTCAGTGTCTGGAGCTACAAAACTCTTGGAACTGATTAGTCACATAGATTTTACCATGGGCTAGTAAAGCAGAAATGCATAAAACTGAATTTAACAAATAAGTAGTTGAAAATGTTTGGCTGTAATCATCTTTTTAGCTTTTTATGTGTTACAGATGCATTTTATCATTGCAGTCAAATGCAGATGTTGCATCTGTTCACCAGTAAAGGAAGCAATATGTTTGCTCTTATTGAAAATCCAGAATGAAGGCTTAACGTAATGTAACGTAAAAGAGAAATTCTTCCTCCTTTCAACATTTGACATGGGAGTTTTATAACAAGCTTCAGTCAGAAAAGGATTAGGCATGGAAAAAAGGGTTATATGTTCTGTATACAAATGAAGTCTATATCTTCCATTACTGAAGAGGGATCCCCACCTAAGCCATCTTGGGCTCCTGGATAAAGGGTAGAATATAAATCTAACAAATAAATAATATAGAATGAAAAAAAAATCCTCTTTTGCTTACTGCAAGAAGTTATGGAAAGTAGAAGCACAGGTGCTTATGTGCTTTTTCTTTTAGTTGCTTCTTGAAACTACTAGAATTTCACAGCTCTTTTAAAGGAAATGCTATCTTTTTCAAAATACAACTGTCTCGAGGATTGTCTAAGTTAGATCAAATTTAGTACATACTGTGCACTTGGGCAATTCCTAGCAACAATCATTTATCTGGTCTCTTATTGGTCCTGGGTCAATCTCATATTGTTCTGAGTTGAAACCTTTCAACATAGCCTTCAGGTTAGGCAACTGATAAATATTTAAAAACTACCCTAACCATATTCCTTTGGCAGTTTATTCTGCAATCTATAAACACATAGATTAAGTAGCTATTATAAGACAGATGCAAAAAGGCACCTTGTTGAAAGATTTCTTGACCTGTGGTGTAGGACAAGGATTAAAGGAAGCCTATGGTTAAATGAGCTGAAACTCTTCATCTGCACATACTAAGTTGCTTTTATTAATCCAGAACTGCATGCTACAGATACTGTACAGCATGGACATTTATTCATTACAAAAATGGCTTCCAAACCATTAAAATGAAAAATTGGAATAAGAGCAATAAAACGGAACAGTAACATCACAACTGTTAGAAAACATTCAAAGGATCCCTCCCCCCAAAAAGAAATTATGTCATAGTTAGCATCTTAATAAACCAGAGAAGAAAACTGGAGACAGTTTTACAATAGCTTCATGTCAACTACAATGGCACTGGATGAACAGATGAACATTTTTTTTCAGCTTTATACAGCATTTTATCTTTAAAAAAATTTTTTTTGCAACATCAACATGCCTAGGTTTTTTTTTTTAAACTTTGCTACCTACCTGTATGTAGTAAGTGTACATAGAAGTGGCAGTCTGATTCTTCCTTTTATGAACAGTCTAATATACAGAATTTGGCCCTTCAGGGTTTATACCTCTTCATTTTTAAATGCTTTCTGGACAATCTGCTACCAAACACATCTGTAATAGGTGACATTAAAAACTACATACGTATCTACCTATGAAACATCACAGCAAAACAGGATGAAGAAAAAAATACAGTGTAAAAAAGTGGAAAAGAGAAAAATCACTGAGAATTTTGGCACATAAAGTTTTGCTCACAGCCTACAACTGGCAGGGAAATTCCTCTGTATTCCAAAAGGAGACACTGTTGCATTTCCAACAGCGTCACAAAAAAGTTCTGTGCTAAATTTTCAAGTCTTATTTCATGTAATGGCTTTAAAGCTTTATATATGTATGTGTGTGTGTGTGTGTGTGTGTATATATATATACACACACATATATATGTATGTGCGTATGTATGTATGTATGTATATACATACATACATACATACGCACATACATATATATGTGTGTGTATATATATATACACACACATATATATGTATGTGCGTATGTATGTATGTATGTATATACATACATACATACATACGCACATACATATATATGTGTGTGTATATATATATACACACACATATATATGTATGTGCGTATGTATGTATGTATGTATATACATACATACATACATACGCACATACATATATATGTGTGTGTATATATATATACACACACACACACACACACACATATATATACACACACACACACACACACTATTGATCCATCTGTAAATGTCCATTTGGTGGCAACGGTGTGACAGAAAAAATAAAGAATTAAAGCAAATAAAACAAAAAGAAATCAACAAAAATATATATAACATTTATACATAAACTTAAAAACCTTGTACAAATGAGTTGTTATATATATGGTGTGTACACTAGAGGGGAAAGAAACCTTTACAAAACATCTGAAGGGGGGAAAGGAAAACATTTAAAAAAGGGACAACATACAGGTACAAGCAATTTCTAAAGCAATAAATACTACTGGTCCAATAGCGTTGTGATACTTTTTAATTGAGTAGCATTCCCTCCCCCAAAAAGAACACCACCATGGAACAATGCATATTAACACATTTTAACCTTTGTTTCTGTACATTTAAACAATAACAAGTAACATCACAAGAAAAGTTGTATCGCACAAAGAAAAAAAAATGGGGAAAAATTAGTGGCACTGCATTCATTGTGCCTTTAAAAAGTTTTAAAAACCAGATGTAAAATGATTGGTTCGCAAGCTCGTATTTAATACAAATAATAAAGAACCAATGCCTTCGACAAAGGCTGCTTCAAAATTGCTTCTTTTTTCATTTTTAAAATCAGTTCTTTTGAAACTAAACTATTGGAACTACATAACAGTTATGTATATATATATTTATATGTATATATATATATATATATATATATATATAATATTTTAAACGCTACAAAGACTTTAAACAGCTGTTGATAAAAATTTTGGCAGAATCATGAGGCTTTTTTTTTTCCCATCTACATATTTAAAAAGAAAAAAAATGAAATAACAATGGGTCAAATATTGACCAATGAACTTGATTGACATTAACTAATGTAGCCAGCCATATGGCACAATTTTTTTAAAAAAAATACAAATGAAAGGGAAAAAAATATATCCTGACACAAAAATTAAAATAAAAAAAATACTCAGAAGCTAAAGCTATTCTAAAGACTTGGTTACAAGTGACAATGGCTGAGGTTGTGTCCCAGTCAAAGAATTATGGGAATGCAAGGAGGATGTTGATGGTTGAGCTAACGAAGAAGAGGCCGGTGCTGATTGCTGTAGAGTGGCTGACTGATGGTCCAGTGCCCCATTCTGACAATTACTAGCCGGCAGACCATTGGATTTGCCAGTAGAGCTTTCAGTCAGGACTATGGAGGATGGTTGAGGTGGCATCATTGAAAGGTGTGCCAATGGATCAGGTTTCAATGTAAGTGAGAGAGGCTGGGTCTGTTCAGTCTGTGGTTTTGAGTCTCTTGTGGGGGAGGCTAGCATGTTAGGAGAAGATGGAGGAGAATCTAGTAGGCTTCCATCTGAAGAGGGTGGGCTGACGCAGCTGCCTTCACCTTGTATGTAGCGAACGCACTTTTTTTTTCTCCTAGAAACAGGAAAAAAAATCTCCTGTAAGTACAAGGCAAATTTGTTATTGAATTATAATAAGAATAATAATAATTAAAAAACAGACCAACAAATGATGCTGGATTCCTTAATCACAACCAATGGGCTTACCAACACAGTACTAGTTACCAGTGGACAATCATTATTTCAGAAGTCTGTCTCTGCTAACTAGAGCAATTTGCTCTTTAACCTGTTTTAGCAAGAATAACAAAAAGTTTCATGTTCTTTTTGCATTAAATGACTGCATTTTATTGCTTAATTCTTTACTTTGTATATTCTCACTATACAACTATTACAGATACTGTCTCTCAGTTGATACCAAATCAATGTTTTAAATTTCATTTAAAAATTTACTTCTATCATTTTTAATTGTCACAAGGCCAACCTTTGATGGGAAACCAAGATTTAAATGAATTAAATACAGTTCTGTTAGACTAACTCTGGAGTCTCCATTCAGTGACTCCTTGCTCTCATGAATAAAATGTAGCTGACAATCTATCACTTCTGATGTTTCTGTTTAGAACCACACCATATTGAGTGGAAAAAACATCAGTGTCAGAGACAAAAAAGAAAAAGAGAAAGTAACAGGAAGAATAAAAGTGGGGAATGAAGAAAAAGAAAGATTAACAAAGTATCATCTAGGTTAACAAGAATAACTGGTTGTATAACCTGCAGGGTTTGGGTTATCATATATATTTTTTTCTTTTCTTTTTTGTAAGGATGGGGTGGGAGAAGGATTTAGTTTCTACTTCGATTTATAGGAATGTCATTAGAATTCATTCTGGCAACTTTAAAGAAAGTCTAAATGATTGGTGCACTGCATACATTAAGCAACAGTATCATCTTAAAATAGTAAATCAGCCTTATTATGCCAAGCAATAGTCCATGCCCCACTTATCAAACTTATATAAAGATGACACCTGTCCAATGCACCTACAGCATTGTATTGAGAAGACATGTCTACTGGGAGAACAAAAATAGGAGGCTAACAATGGATGTAGCTTGTAGACCAAATATAAACCGGGCATAGCAAACACTAGTTTTTTCTTTGTCAAAAGTATTCATGAGGCTATAATAAACTAACCAACTGAAGATAACTTACACATTTGCTATCAGGATGAGAATACTAGCTAATATTTGCAAAAAAGGTAAAAAGAGTGAAACTTCTATAGCCAGTAGATACTGCCCTAGGTTGTAGTTAAGCAGTATTCTGAGAAGACAACTGTACAGAAGTCAGTTTCTGTTACCACAAAGTCACTAGTAAGATATCCAATAAAGGAATCTGCAGTTTACCATTGCTGCTTTTTACTTCACAACTTTCATTTCACTGCAGCGATGTTTGCTTGTGTGCAGCCCTTTGCCACTGCGGCTTTGATATCAGATGATATGTGGTTTGGGGGTTTGCTTTTGTTTTTTTGTTTTGAAGACCCAGATTCATTTCTTTACACTCCCTCCCATCTGAAACTCATGAAAAACACAACCAGTTGGTGTAGACAATACTGAAGTAGATGGACCAACGATTCAGTATAAAGCAGCTACAGGCCACATAAAAAAAATTTAAATAAATAAATATTGGAATCTCAGGACATTTGCTCCATATAGTTTTCATATGTATTTAGAAAGTAGAAAATTAAACATTTTTTCCCTACAAAAGTTAGATTTTCTGCCCAAAGCACAGTCAATTGTTATGGGAATGGAGAATTTTAACCACACTAATGTACTGATACATGCTACAAACTAAGAGAGCCATGCAGGTAATACTTTAAGAATGAAACCATTAAAACTCAGTTGTAACAAAGATCAGAAAAGAACAGAAAAGTTCAAGATGGCAGGCAATAGCAAATCATGCTTTATTAAGGCAAGTTAAAGAATGAAAGAGCAAATTGGTGGGCTCTAAACAGAACCTCACTAAACATCTCCTTGTACCATAATAATCACAACTATATTAGGCAGAAATTAATGTAATCCAGTGGTCTGATATCATGTCCTTTATGCCTTACTCTTTAATTAGTCCCTATAGGCAGAAAGGAGGCAATGCTACTGAACAACTGTTCAAAGCAGCTTTTTGTTTTTTTACTGACCCATGGGAAATGTGTAATATTATGCTAACGTAGTGCTATTCGTATTTGGAGAATCCATTCTATGAAGACATTCACCATTTGGCATGCAAAGTCTTGCCTGAACAAAGCAGTTTTCTGAATAGTACAGAAGCCCCTACAAGTAAATGTAACAGGGACCATGTGGATAACTCTCCATGCTATTGGTAGAAGGTTCTGGCAGGCCATGCAGCACAAAGCATAGGTATCTACATGTTTATGAGTAAATGGGTATGGTCTCAAAGTATAGCCCCATTCCTTTCATCATCAATCTTACACATGCCTCTCCCTGAAGTCCTGGTTTTCAAAGACATACTCTATAAGGATCAGTGAAGAGGAAAAGCAACAAGAGTAGACAGGTGCTTGTCCTGAGATGGTATTGATAACTATACATTTCTGCATTGAACATTTTGTGTGTCATAGGGCTGGCATCGATGCTCAAAATTCAGTTTCCTCCTCCTCTCTACCACCCAACTTTTCCTTGTTCAATCTACTTCTATGCAATACTTAGCCAAGGAGATATAAAGCATACTAAGGCAAAATGTAGTGTAATTCAGAAACTTTATTGCAGTATTCTATTGTTGATGTTGTGAGGTGGGTTGCTGCCAACTGTTCCTAAAAATCACTTCTAACTTAAAATCAGTCTCTTATCCAATATCATCAGGGCAAACTTGCTTCTACAGACTAGAAGACAGCAGGTATTAATGTGCCTTAGGACATGTGCAATTACTGGTGCACACCCCAGTGAAATACATTAGCTATACATTTACAATTAATTGGATTAATGAGCTGGCCTTGAATTCTGAAAGGGTTCTGGAGGCTACCATGCCATCAATGAGAGACACTGTTTCTCTCTTTATTATTTTATTTCTTTAAAACAACTGTATACTTTCTCTACCCATAAACATTTCCAGAACAAGTGGTAGGCTTAAACTGTAAGTAAACTGCTCTTTAGAGAACCTTGTGCTATGATAAGCCAAATTATAAAACAAGTATTTACTTATTTTCTAGCTTATTCTATTTGACCCAGTGCTATGGGGAAAAAAAGACGTTGGCCACTGGATATTCCAATCAGGCCATCTCAGTATTTAATTGTATGCATTGTCTCCAATATTTTATTCATACAGTATATTGAAGTACTAGTAACTTGCTTCATTTAAAAACACACACAAGCATACTTAGAATGTTTCACTTAATGCACACTACCAGTTTCTGCAGTTAGATAATGCAGCTATGCCTTTTTTTCATTTTGGAGTTAGTGGAGCATGGACAAAATATTTAACTTAAAATCATGTTTAATTAAGCAATCAATATGTCTTTGAATGAAGTATTCAATGTTCAATAAATGCTATTTAATCCAGCAAAGAAAACCTAACATGAAGCAAAAACTACAACTGAAAACTGAGGGTACTTTGTTATTATTCTACAATTACTTGGTTATATATGGTAGAAGTGGCATAAAAAATAAAATTCAAGCAAACCTTTAATTTCATGTTGTAGCCAAATGGGACCATATGCCCTCTTACTGCAAGAAATCAATACAGAACTGGACTACTAAGTAGTGACATGAGAGTAGCTGTTTGGTCCTACTTATTACTAACATGAATCCTGAAACTGGTTCTTCAAAAATAACACTACTATTTGTCAGAACTCACTATTTGAGATATGCTCTATTAATGAACTTGCAGTGTATTAATAAAACTACATGGTGTTTCATGTGTAATCTACTAATATTTGTGGCGTTTTTTAATCTATCAGACTTAGTTTACACATATTATTGCGTCCATGTCCTAGTCTGAACAATGATTTTTCACCCAGCTGAAATTATGTGCAAGTCAACATCCTAAAAGAAACATTTCCTTTTTAATGTATACAATTTGAGGATAGTTTACTAAAAGCATTACACATCAATAATAAGGAATTTAAGTGGAAATTCCAGTTACAATACATGATTAATGAAAGATGCTACTGTAATTTAGAGTAATGATAGTAAGCCGGAAATTAAATCTGATAATCAATGCCATCCCTTACTGTTCTTCTCTCAAGATATGGCCCACGCAAAGGGTTTCCTAAAGGCCTTGCACTGGATCAGAAGCTGTATCCTTTTATCCTTATCCTTTTTGCAAGCCAAGATAGAATAAATACGGCAATGCATAGCTTTAGGAAGGAAGGAAGGAAGGAAGGAAATGCCTAGGTCAAAATCTTTATTAGCATACATACTCTATTATCCAAACCAGTGAATCTTTTTCTCTCTTGCTTTTGTGGCTACAAGCCAAATGGGTGGAGTCAACACTGTTGTCCTTTCCCAGCTCAAAATATGTGGTCTTACTGAGTACAGATTTGGAACACTACCTCAATAAACTATGTTTGATTAATATAAAAATAGAAGCCTTTGGCCACGTAAATTTTAGCTTTAAAATTTAGGCATTTAAAATATGAATTGAGAACAGCATTTGCTATTATTATTGCTTCTCTCACACAAATCACAGTTCTTAAGCATGCATCTGATGGGACGTTACAGGGTATAGGTGGAATTCAAGCCCCCAAGGACTATGCATGAACTTTATCTAATAATTAGATGTATCATTTTCAATCCATGTGTATAGCTCAGCATCACAGAACTAATAGAATTGGCATGCATATAATATGAACAACTGCTCTACTTTCTAAAAAGGAATGAAGCATATGGTAAGGGGGTGAATCAGAGGGGAAGGTGAAGAGGGAAGCACTACATACAGAAAAGAGTGTGTGTCAGATTGGAATACCTACCATCATAATAGTCCAAATTCAAAGACTGCTTGGATCAGAACAGAGAAATAACAAATTTAACCATATTAGGGGAAAAATGCAAAAAGAAAGATAGCTTCTTCCCTTCACCAAGTGCCTACAGAATTTATCCAGGGAGTTTAAATCTGCAGAAGGTTGTTTCAGCTGTTGTTTTTGGTGCCTTTAATGCCCAACTTGACCAATGCAAAAGTATCTTATCTAAGAGAATTAACAAATGTACCAATATAAAGATTTCTTCTAGGTGATTTCTGTATGTGCCAACTATACCTTTTAGTAATAAGATGAACATCAGATAGAGTGATGAATTCCTGTCCCATAGCTGGGCCCCCTTTCTACTGCATAAATAACATGCTAAAAGGAGTACAGAGCACTGGACACAGCATAAAAATTGTTCCACCAGTAGGCCATTCATCATTTGAATGATTCAACATTATGAGTTGTAAAATTCCAATTTGCATCTTCTTTGCCCAGGCTGAGAATATCATGTTGCAAATGATAAAGCCTTTTAATATCCTTTGGAGATTGCAGGCATACACAGAGATCCTTAGGTAAATGTTTACTCAACACAAGAAATACTAAAGTTTCTTGCTTGAATAAGAAATGTGAGTCACTTCTCCATGGATGTGCATGTGTGTGAACCCATTCCAGTTCAGCTACCAAAAGAGAGATTATTGTTCAAGGAAGAAAATTCAATTTGCATTGAATCAGCAAAGAATGTTGAAGATCAAAATATATTAGCAATCTGATCTCACAGAAGTAAAGAAGAGAGCAGGAAGAGGAAAGGGTTAAAAATAAACCATACATGTAACACTAAGATGACAGAATTCATTTACTTCCCCAAGGCCTAATGGGTTATATACCTGCACGGTTTGCACCATAAAGTCTGTCGGTCAAGCCCGAACAATGCCCGACACTTCTTTGGAGTATTTGCATCTGTTAGCACAAGGTAAACATAAAAAAAAAAAACACACAACACAATGGTGGATAGAGCTCAGTTGGATGTGAAATCTCAGCTACAGCTAACATTTTTCAGAGTTCATTGGCAATCTCTCAGACCAAAGGGCATGAAAGAAAGAGGATCTCTGCAAGGTGACACACACCTACAATGCCTACACCTGCTGTGCATTTCCTTGACTTAGCCCTGGGTCTTCTTTGCTGAACTGCTGCGCTGTGATATCAAAGGATGTTTTGCAATGTTTTCTAACAATGTATGCAACTTTCCAGAGAAGATGATGGAATTGTGTGTGCAAGTCTAGGCTGATGCTGTCTTATGGTGGGAATTTTTTTCAGCTAGCAGAAGTGACAAGGAGGGGAAAGGAGGAAAAAAAACAACAACGAGTGGGGGACAGCAAAATCCTTTAAACAGAAAGAAAGGATCATTCACAGCAGCATTCCACTCCCTTGTGTCTTCTAGATCACAACACAGAGCTACAAAGCAACAAAGCAGGAAAAGAGGGAAGGGCAGGGGAAAGTACCAAATAAACCAGCTGCAAAACCAGCCATTGCAAGTTGGGGGGGAAGACTATACACACCTGCAGGGACCGCACCAGTTATTCTGTTGATCAAGGCCAAAGCGCGCTCGGCATTTCTTAGGAGCGCTCAGGTCTGAATGAGGTCAAGAAAGAAGCGAGCAAAAAGAGAGAGAGAGAAAGAAAGAAAGAGAGAGAGAAGGAAAGAAAGAAAGAAAGAAAAGAAAGAAAGAAAGAAAGAAAGAAAGAAAGAAAGAAAGAAAGAAAGAAAGAAAGAAAAAATAAGAAATAAAAAATAAAAATAAGAAGGAAATAAAATCAATGACCTCATTATTAACTGCAAAATATCAACTTTTGATTGTTTCATCTCTCTTTTTTTTTAAAAAAA